GAGAGGAGAGAGAGAAGAGAGAGAGAGAGAGCGAGGGATAGATAGAGAGAGAAGAGAGAGAGAGAAGAGAGAGAGAGAGAGAGAAGAGAAGGAGAGAGAGAGAGAGAGAGAGAGAGAAGAGAGAAGAGAGAGAGAGAGAGAGAGGAAGAGAGCGAGCGAGGAGAGAGAGAGGAGAGAGAGAGAGAGGAGAGATAAGAAGAGAGAGAAGAGAGAAGAGAAGAAGAGGAGAAAGAGAAGAAGAGAGAAGAGAGAGAGAATAAAGAAGAGAAGAGAGAGAGAGAGAGGAGAGAGAGAGAGAGAGCGAGAGAGAGAGAGAGAGAGAGAGAGAGAGAGAGAGAAGAGAGAGAGAGAGAGAGAGAGAGAGAGAGAAGAGAGAGAGAGAGGAGAGAGAGAGAGAGAGAAGGAGAGAGAAGAGAGAGAGAGAGAGAGAGAGAGAGAGAGAGAGAGAGAGAGAGAAGAGAGAGAGAGAGAGAGATAGAGAAGAAGGAGAGAGAGAGAGAGGAGGAGAGCTTATATATATATATATATATATAAAACCTCTAATGACATATAATATGATATATAATATAATAGATATTATATATATATATATCTAATATATATCATATATATATATAGATATCTATACATATATATATATAATATATATATATTTTATATATTTAGAATTTTTTTTTCTTTTTATATATATATTTATATTTATATTATATATTTTATATTATTGTCTATTTAGCGGTTTAACGAAAGACTATGATGCAAAGCTCTCAAAAACGTGAAAATGTGTTCAGTGCTTGTTTTCTGACGACAAAACGTTTATCAAAAATTTTCGGCTGGAACCGTCTTACCAGTGTTGAAAAATATGTTTCTAAAGACGCATATTTTAACGAAATGATTGTTGGTTGGCTGTGCGCAAGATGCTTTATTTGTGGGCCAGAATGGTACCAAATCTCTTCCTATTCAAACTTTTCAAGCAAATATTTCATGGTGTGTCTGACGCAGACGCGACAGAAACCACACTTTTATCTTGGCCGCGTCCCTGTTTATGGGAATTCAGTACAAATAACATGCTGATAGGTTTTACATGCCTCAACATGATCCAGGATGAAAAATCCTCGAATGAAATTATCTTTAAAGTCCGCTTTGCCACACAGCACCGATGTAAACAATAATGCTGCAGCCACCATCAGTCATCGTCAACAGACCTGCACAGTTGATTACTAGGCCTAGTATTCTCCTAGAACGTGTGTAAACTCTAAGGTATTCTAGAGAACAGTGTATATAAAGAGCCTTGTTTATATAAGTGCCTTGTTCTGAGTTGAAAACGCGTAGCCTAGCTATGGAATGACAGTGAAATGGTATGAGTTTGATCATTTCCTTGTCAGATCGCTTAGAGTGTATTCGCAGCGACCCGTACGGCGCAAAACCTATGCTGATGACGTCACTCATAACGTTATGCCGGATAGGTGCTGCGCCACATGGTGCTCGCGGCGACCCGGACGGCAGTTTTTATGTGACGTCACGTAGAATCCTTGCCGGATATGCAGAATCTTGTCCTGAGACTCGTTCGAAGTAAGACAGAAATTACACAACGTATTTAATTATAAATAGGTCGATTCGCGTGCACAGGACCGACCGCGATGGATGAAAAGGTGTTGCATAGTCACAAAGAACATAATTTGCAGTGCGCATTCTTAGGAGCACTCAATGTCATCGCGAACAAATATCTTGTGCGTTTGCATACGCAGTTATTGTCACCACAGTCACGAAGATGTACGCAAAAAAACGAGTTGCGCTGCGAGCACGCGCAGTAAAGATTCGACACAATGTCACGTAGAATAGAACATTCCTAGTGTGCTGAGAATACACCCTTAGTATATTCTTAGACTTCACGGGAACATCTGAACGCTTAAAAACTGTTCAGCGCATTTATTCATCTTGAAAATGGCTATTGCAAGCGATTCCTAGTAGAGACTCAGAAAATTGTAAGATGACAAAGCAGCTATGAATAGGAGCAAGTATTGTTAAGTGAGATAACCGAACACAATTATTAAAAGAATAGAGCTTCTAAACGGTCAGCATTCGCATGCAATATATGAACATAACAACATATGCAACATAAGGGCAGTAATGTTCAGTACAGAACATCATCAACTTAGAAAGCGACTTAACTGCGGCGGTGAAAACCATAGCTCTGTCGGGAAATTGGTATTTACACCGGTTTTAATCACTCTTTTTAATGCTTCCGCTGCGCAATGACTAATACCCTATAAATATGCTGATCGCTTGATTGGTCGCAGCCTGCAGAGAAGCGCCAGGAGGGCAGCCTTGAAAGCTGTCCTAGCGAATTTTCGACCTGGATTTCACTTTACCAGCAGAGTTATGGGCAACAAAAGGGGCATAGACTTCTACTTGGCTTCATCTGACTATATTTGTATGTGCGTATATATATATATATATATATATATATATATATCCTTTTGATATTTTACAGCTCGATCACTTGAAGAAGACAGTTATCTAGAATCGTTTAACCTGATACATTAACGGAGTGTTAGACGAAGTCATACAACTCCGTGAAAGTTTCCTAGGCAACACATGAATTAAAATAACAAATAACATTGATCTATAGTCAGGTATGAAGGTCAGACCAAGGTAAAACCAACCTGTTTTATTACGCTGGAGTGTGTTGCATGAGGTAGTTTCTGGCGCTCAATTCAAATTCATTGATAACAGGAGCCACATTATACATCTTCCACGGACTTTTCAAAGTCGGAATGAGTCACTGACCTAAAATGACCGAGGTCAATATTTTGCTTTTAGGAATGAAGGTCACTGCCTACCGTAATTCTTGACGCATTTTCAATTGCAAAAAACAGCAGTCTTGTGTGATTTCGGTCACCATGACATTTGAAAGGTCACACAAGGTCACTGACCTTGAATGAACACCAGTGACCTTTTGCTTAGAACAGGCATCTAAGTTCACGGTGATTGCATTAGGGCGTCGTGGGGCACTTTGGACACTAATCTGAAGTCTGACCTTGTTTGACCTTATTTCACCCAAAGATCATGATCTAGGAACTTTAAATGTTGGCCCTGCGCGCCGCCCCTTCCTGAACGCGTCTCCTGTCCATGCGTTCATATGGAGGCGGGGCGGAGGGCCGGTCGCGGCGACGATGAGCAGGCTCACAGCTGCCCAGCCAGTCCGCCCCCACCTGACGCAGACGCTAGCGCTCCCGAACCCCTGTCTGGCTCACGCGCGGGAAAAGACACCGGTCACACGGTTTGTTTTCTTTCCAAACGTCCTGACCTGCCACGTTGCGCCATGGCTGGAGGCTCCCGGGGAGGTAGTTCCCGCTGCTGATGTTAACTTTTCCATCTCCTCTCCTGACGTTGAGCTTGGTGCCCAGGCGCCATTTAGCCACGCTCATCTATCAGACCCCGCCCTGGAGGCTCGCCGGGCTCGCGTCAGGCGCGTACTTTCGCTCGGGGAATTTACGAGCGGTGTGTGAGCTGATGGCATGCCGGCTGTTCGGCCCGCGAGCTGGCTAAGGGAGCCTCACTGCCCGCACGCTGGGCAGTGAGGGCAGGGCAGTGTTCATTCATCAGTGATTTGCATGAGTTATGTAGCAGCTACTTGCAATCGCATGCAAATCGCAATCCACACAATGATTACTGAGTTAAAACCCCAGAAAACATAATTATGCGTTAACAGCGTGAATAATTGATTTTTTTTCAAGATGTGATTACGCTGGATGCGGTAAGCTCAAGCGATCGGCCCTTATCAAGTGCCGCCTCCTTTCTCACCTTTTCTTTGTTGCCAGACGAGGGCTTCCCTCGTCACACGTCTATTGCGGAACATGGAAGGCTTGAAATCAAAACATCAAAAGGTACAGCAGCCGACAACCCCGCTGTTGCGACTTTTTGCGAAACACAGAGCGTTTTTCTAGGTCAATACGTGACACTGTTCAACTGGTGTTGTCATTTTAAAAGCTCCAGAGATAGCCTGCTGGTGACGTGAACTCCTGAAAAATGTGAGTAATCGGTGTCCATGACACCTTATGGGTGGCGAATAAGATGCATTTTTTAAAAATTAGATTTATTCCAAATAGTTTGCACGGGTAACTTCGCATTCAGAGTATCTGCTAAGCATAGCTTGTTGCGTATACCCCGAACCAACCACCCAAATCGTGCCGTCCAGTTCAACGGATAATTTTACCTCCGCCCTTTTGCCAGACAGGAATGGGAAGGTTTTTACGTGACACAAAATGCTGCGGCACAGCCGCCCCGGGCCTGGGTCGACCCTCGTTGGCCACTTGCCAACTGACCTTTCCAGGTCAGACCTTAAGGGTTAAGAGATGCGCCCACTCTGGGGCTCGCACCAAGCGCCGCTTGACTACGAGTCCATCTTTCCCCAAGACCATGGAGGCGGCAAATGGTAGAGGGCAAATGAAATGAGGAGGCAAATAAAAGTGTTTGTTGTGCCGTGTCAGACGGCCATAAATTAGACATGAGCGGCGCGGGCTGTCGACGCTTGCACACCAGCTGCTTCTGTTGCACGTAGTCGGCACCTTATCCCGTACCTACTGACTAACCGAGCGACGCGTGACGCTAACCGAACGACGTGACGTGACTAACCGAACGACGGACGTGACGTGACGAGTGACGTGACGTGACGCCATTGGCGGGATCACACATGCGAGCGCCAAGCAACCCACAGGAGGTGTGCAAGGTGACCACGCCATCGGCTGATGTTGACAGCGTCCTGTGTGGGGGAGCAGGGAGGAATTTCACTGCACGATGACTAGAGTCCAGTTTCCCGTCGCCGTTCGGTGTCGCCGCGTCTGTGAGCGAGGATGCGGCCCAGCGCCCGCGTCTGTGTTCCGGGCTCCAGCCCATCATCTCGGGGCCGGTTCGCGCGGCTGCGCCAGCGGCGCCGGCGTCGAAGGGGGCGCCGCGCTGACGCCCGACACCGGTATTGATCGCCCGTTGTGCGGCGGCTTCAGCGGCCGGCAGCTCGGCACGTGTCGCCGTGCCTCTTCGCTCGTTTTATTCGGCCCTGGTCCAGAGGATCGGCCGCCGCAGACGCACAGGAGGCAACACACGGCAGGCTCACCTTTGGTCGCGCAGGTGAGTGGTGAAGAGTGGACGGGCGCGTCCACCACCCGGCCACCGCCCAGTACATGGGCAGGCTGGACGCCCACGCCCTGCAGCCTGGAACTGCGCAGTCCGCGACTGTAGACCTGTGGCGGCGGTAGCAGGGTGTCCCAGAGCGTGTAACATGAGCCACGATGCTGATGGTAGTTGGGTTATTAGGGATGGTCACAAACGCCAGCTTGAACAAAACCCGAAGCAGATGCATAAACACTGTAACACTAAGGTTACAAACTTTGTGAAGGCTGTTTGATGTCAACAGTATTCGTTTTCTTAAATTGTCATTGAGCTTCAACATGGACAATTTTTGCGACTCTTCGATGGTCAAATGATTCAAACCTCGCCCAGATAGGCATGGGGAAGGGACAGAGTCAATGCGATTCAAACCCCCTGGTTTTTACAGGTTACCTCTCCGGTATGTTGTGGAAACCTACACATTAGTTACAAAGATTTGTTCAGAGCAAACGCGCTTTTAAAGGGAATCGGTCCATCAGTGTATCTGTATCTTATTTTATTTAGACAGTTGCTGCATTAAATCATGATTTCTTCGATCTTCTCATTTAGCCCTCGCCCTGAAAGGGAGAGGAAGGGGGGGGGGGGCGATGCGTCCCCTCAGGTTTTCTAAGAATATCTCCGACATGTCACGGTATCGCGCCCAGATATGTAGGTGCACCCTCCTCAGAGTTTCTCAAGATATCTCCCCGGCATGGTGTAATCGAGACAAATCAAACAGGAGCACTGTGCGGCGATCTACGGCCGGCGCGGCCGGCGGCTGGCCACCGACGACGCCGTGGACCGCGCTTGGCGGGTAGGCACTGTTGCACAAACGAATCCCTATATCATACATGTATCTCAAAAAACACTTGAACAATAACACAACAGAGAAAGACTGTATTACAACGCCTTGCTGAAAAAAGATCAGGCTCATCCACCTTTTGTGCCGGATATGTAAAGAGCAGACTTGTTGTAGGCCAGTGATCTGGCATGATCTGGATGTAACATGTCAGAGAACGTGTAAAGTTGATTCAGGGCAATGTGCTGAAAATTTCAGGAGACTAGCACAGAACGTACCCCCTCTACTCCGAAGAGATCATTGAGATGGATACCTAACCCCCCCCCCCCCACCCCACCCCAATCTGTCCGTGCGCGGTTCATGGCAAAACGGGAGTTAAGTTGTCCTGCCCAAACCCACTGGGATCCAACTATGTAATATTTTCAACTCGAATATTGTAGGAAATATCGAAATAACTGAACGTGTATTTCAGCTTGGTGGGTAGGTGGATAAGTGGTTATTAATCAGCTTGGTGAGTAAGGATGTTTTCAAAGACAGGTTGCAAGGGTCAAACGTGCTTAGGAATAGGAACTTCGTCTGCATAACGCTTATGTGTATTTGAGGTAAGTAAATAACGGTAAGGTGGAGGTTTTAACGTATGCATGGGTTTTCAACTTACAGCTGTGATAGTCATTTTTAGATCATTTTCTGCAGTTCATAGCCATGACTTTTTTAAGACTTCAATCTCTGGTTTCTGAGCTTGATACACGCGAACTTGTGCGGCATATTCCGCGTCGTCCATTTGAAAGTCACCCAGACATGCAAGTCGACAAGAAAACGTCGCGCAAGTACCCCCACCTCATTGGCTGTATTTTGTTCGTGATAAAAATATGGTCACTGAAATGTTCATGCTTTCAGTGATTCAGCAGCAGCCGTCCCAACGAGAGCGGGCAATGGACCAGCTGTCAGTCTGAACTGCCGTTTTTATGTCTCGAACCCTGGTTATTTGGATTATAGCCCTTTCGACCAGTAATGACCAATTCAGGGCTATGTGATGAAGGAGAATGAATGATGGTGGGGCAGGACTACATGCACATAGGGGCCCACCACCGAGACTTTGTCCGCACAGGGACCGCTCTGCGGGGTATGTGCCTGGCGCTTGGATGGGGTCCACTCCAGGTGGCCTTCAGCCCATTCATGGCTGGCGCATGCAGCCCGCCCGGGGCAAGTGGGTAGTCGCTAAGATGTAGGATAAAACGAGAACAAAGCTGCTAGGGTGGATGAGTCTCGAATTATAAATGAACACCAACACACGTACATACAGCACGAAACATAAATGCACACGCATATGCCACCAGCGCTGTAGTACTGCAGGTAGAAGTACCGCAAGCGAGTCACGCCATCCGCTACAGTGCAACTCTGACACGGCCAGTCTGGCAGCGACTCTGATATAACAAGCTCACTGGCGAACGGTCTGGTTGTTCTCATTGTTCACAGGTAGCAGTCAGCGGTAGCGAGGCCACCGGGCGGTCATCATGACGTTCCTCCAGCTCAAGACATTCTGCTGCTGCTGTTGCCGGGTGCCCGTGGAGAAAGGAGCGCGCAACATTGGCATAGCTTTGGCGGTGGGTGGCCTGCATTCGTTCGTTGCTGCTGAGGGTGCTCTGACAGGTCAATGACGTCAGTGCTGGCTGAAAGTCGTGGTGTATGGGCGGGAGTTTTTCAGTCTACGGGCGTGGGGCTGAGCAGTGAGCCGCAGTATTCACACACACACACACACACACACACACACACACACACACACACACACACACACACACACACACACACACACACACACACACACACACACACACACACACACACACACACACACACACACACACACACACACACACACACACACACACACACACACACACACACACACACACACACACACACACGCACACGCACACGCACACGCACACGCACACGCACACGCACACGCACACGCACACGCACACGATGCCTCGCATGTACATAGGGTTTCACTATGTTTCATGAGGTTGCTGTCAGTACACAGCGGGGTTGCTGCCTGTGAACTTGACATCGTTACCTGTACATACATTTGTGTCATCGTGATGTCGGCGGCCAGCAGGAACACTCTTGTGATCCTGATGTCAGTGCCCTCAGGGACACTGTGTTTGACCCTGGTGTTGGGAGCGCATGTGAACGTTGTCTGACACTGGTTCCGGCACCCTGTATGGCCACTGTGTGTGATCTCAGTGTCGGTACCCCCAGGGACGACCTGTGTGACCCTGTCGCCCGTGTCCTCAGGTAATGTCCGTGATCGCCATCGTCCGGATAGCGCTCTTGCTGGTCAGGTTCCAGGCTGAGCGCGATGACCCGGAGACACCCTTCAACGGGATTCTGAAGAACATGAACGGGGTTGACAAAGAGGCCTCGCTGGAGAACAGCCTCAACGCACTGGTGTTTCGGCTCTTCCTGGCCGTGGTGTGCCTGATCTTCAGCGTCATGCTGGTTATCGGCGTCAATAAGGCCAACCGCTGCCTGGTGCTGTCCTTCCTCATCTACTTTGGTCTCCAGTTGGCCACCAACGCCATCACATTACTCGTCGGCTTCATCAATCCAGAGCTGGTCATAAGCGAGAAGGAGCTGCAGCAGATTAGAAAGGAGCACGACGAGGAAATGGTAAAGGTCATTATGTACCTGGCGTTGGTCATAATATTGTTCTTGGAGCTGTTCCTCCTGTACGTTTTCGTCGTGGTCCTCTCCTACTACAGGGAGTTGGGCGGGCGCAGGGAGCAGCATGAGTTTCGTCAGATCCCCATGGTTTAATGATCAGCGGGTATGACGCGCAAGCAGCGCAAGGAGCGTGCCGAATCCATCAGCCGCAATCCAAGTAGCGCGCCGAATCCATCAGCCGCAATCCAAGGAACGCGTCGAATCCATCAACCGCAATCCAGAGGAGGGAGAGCTCTCTTTGTTGTTCAAGCAGATCCCTGTTGACTGACGCTAGGGGCGGTTGTAACACCCCGTCGGCCTCAAGACTGGTAACGCGCCCTCCAGTATCTACCGACGGTTTTTGTGACTATATATTTAGTACTTTGTAGTACTTATCGGCCTTAAAAAAGGAACGGCTTCTGTCACCGCGCTTGCTATGACGACCCATCTGAATGGTTTGGTCCAGTTTGCCACAAAACAAGTTTATGTTTCATGTTCTTGGTGGCAAATGATGTGGCACCAGGAAGTTCTTTCGTAAATTAATGACTTGCTTTCTCACGGACAGGTTAGCCTGGTGAATCTAATGCGTAAATGAACGCCAAGCCTCGCGGCTGCACCTGCCTGTGACGTAAAACAGCGCATAACTTAATTAAGAAATATACGGATGAAGGCGCCATTTTCCATCAGATTACGATAACGGCGTGGCGATGTGTCGAAAACAGAGAACCAGGGCCTTTGTCATATGTTGCTGGATAGTAGGGATCACGGAGAATGCAATGCAGTGAGTATGCCAGCCATCACACCAGCTGTCATTAAACTTTAAAATATGTCAATATTTTTCATTGAAGGGCTTCTCTGGCGGTAACTTTGCGTTACCGCACTTTCCAAAGCCCATGACGATAAATAGATGATGATCCCATAATTTGTAGAAACGCAACACGCACACACTAGTGGTGAACAACAATGCACATATTATGCAGAGGGCTAGGAAAATTTTGTTTTCACGATAAAATTATCGGAGCGAAGTAAGTATTTAGGTACATTTGAGCACATCACAGACAAAATTTGTCTCAGTCTGCGCGAAGCGGATATATTTTTAGAGATCGAGATGAGTGATTGACAGTAAGCGCATCATGAGAAAAAATATAAATTGTAATTTGATAGAACTTCTAGCAGGGCGCATCTGGGATTAGCGACTAGACGGCACTTTACCAGGATTTTCGACGGTGGACTAAGTTTTGAGGGCTGATTACCAACCACATTCACAATACCAGGGACGTAGCCAATAGAATTGCCGAGGAGCCCTGCTTGCCCCCTGCCCCTCCTATTTCCGCGACCCAAAAGATTTACACTAGATGCTGGAGATTTCGCAAAAATGTGGTCCACGTTCGCAGGTTTTTGGAGAAAGATTGACATTCCCCGCCACGCAATAAATAAAATTTTGACTACGGGCCTGCACAGCATCTCCGCACTGCGAGTTGACTCACAACGTCGCAAACGCGTGTAGCTACAGCACCTAAGGTAACAAGCTTGTCTTTGGGCTTAAAGCACTCATCTTAGTTGCGTTTCGAATATAGTCATAAACTATGCGCTGAATTTGGCACTACGTTTTCTCTGTTGGCCGTGTGATGTGAAGCGATGGTGGTTGATAAGATGCAAAACCCAATGTGTTGTCCTGATCACCATTACTGCGGATTTTTCTGAAATCGAACCGTGATGGGAGAAGTGCGCTAGATTCAAACTTGAGACTATAATCCTGTGAGATCCCCCCCCTCCCCCTGTTGTCCCCCGCGCTGCGTATATGGCTTGCAAACTGCACGCGGTGCATTCGTGTCCAAAATGGTATTGGTGTGATCCTGTCGTTTAGGGCTGTGGTTTCATGCGGCTTTCTCGTCTCGTCGTGAGCTAGCTGGAAATGTCTTAGATGGATAGGGTAAAACCTAATCCCACTAGGGCATCACCAACTGAGCATTTTGGCATGGTTACGTTTCAATGATTGGAACGAAACTTTGATGGTGCTTAGGAGGAGACTTCTGCCAGCATTGTGCCGTTTATACGAATAATTTTCTACAAACAATATTTTTACCGATGCTCTTGCAGTGAGCGAAGGAATTATCAATTATGAAGTAAGAAAAATGATGTGCCACTAGGGATTTTAGAACACGTTAAGAGGGTCTGTTCACTGAAGCTATTTCTTGACGGGTCGGGCAGAGTGTTTAAATAAGATGCTACTTGTCGACCAAGCAAATTCGTTTTAAATGAACCCCTACCCTTAAGATGCTTACGCCTGAAACACATTGTATCTTCACGTCGCTATTTTTGCTAGCCACCTTAAATAAATGTAGCCATTAATAATCCGCAAGGCTGTTCCAAAGTGTATTTAATGTCTGGTACATTTAATGGCACTATGGTGAATACCTGAAAACTATATTCGCACCAGCAAAAAGATACAATGCGGCCTCAGTCCCTCATTACTGCAAATGGCACACCTACGAACGGTTTTTAAACACACGGGTAGGAAGTGGCTTTTTAGCTAATAATGGCTGGAAATAAAATACATTTGGCATCTTTCGGCTGTTTTGAATATGATATCCAGACGCAAAGCACAATGCTAAGTAGTGAGTCGGATTTCAGACGCCTTATCAGATATAGAATATGCATGGATGTTATCAAACAGCTAAAATGGCGAGCTCCTAGATAAGCGAGTTTTCTGGTTCGGAAATTGGTTGATAATTTTTAAGTTGTGCTGTGAGTAACACTGCACCAACCTTTACAAACTGGTCTATGGTGTTCTGCATTAAATTTCAAGCAACGCAGCGGCTTGAAGTAGATTTGAAGTGTATGAGGAACTATCATCAGAGTTCGGCAAAAGAAAAAAAAGTTTTGTGTGTGACAAAGGCAAAAAAGGACCATTAAAATGTGGCGCATCGATGCAGCTGTACCTAGCGATAAACTGGGAAAGGTCAATTAGATTTTTACACGGACCATTGTTGACCATTCTGCGTGGGAAACGTAAGTCAATGCCCTCGAGACTGATGCAATTGTGTCCCTGAATAGCACCGCATGACAAGATGCATTTGGTGCTGACATCCCCTTGCTTACAAAAACAGTTAAGTTGCAGCTGGTGCATTTTGGGCAAATTTCTAGGGTAGTTTGCAGGTTTTCTACATTTGATAAGGATGGGCTATGAAGAAATAACAGCTGAACACTACGAGCTGCCGTTCGCGTGAATGCGTTTACACGCATTCGTATCCACAGAGTATCCATATTCGCCTCTTATTCTTGTTAGTGCAAATTTTCGCGGCAGCTAGATCGGTTGTTTCACTGCATGGGACATGTTTACAGCTGGCATTCAGCCCTTTGGCCGTGACTTTGGCCGCGCGTGTGCCGTACCTCATTCCCTGTGCCCCCCCCCCCCCCCCCCCCCGGCGGAGCGAGAGCGGCTGCTCTGCGTTCTGCCGGGTATAGATGCGGGTCCAGCATCGCCAGGAGGCCTGGCTGACCTCACAGCTGTGGAGGGGAAGTCTCGCAACTCAACCCACCTGGCCGGCCCGTCGGGATCTCTGGAAAGGGTCAGGTCTAGTCAGGCCAGGTGTAACGCCAGCAGCGGCTGACGGCTCTCCTGGCCCCCCCCCCCCCCCCTGGCCCCGTGCACCGTGGGTGTCACGCCCGACCTGACTGTGCAGGTCATGATGTTGTTGTAGTTCGAACTACCGTCTTCGTCTGGTGTGTTAGTGCTCGCAGATTTCTTTTAGTCACGTTTCCGGCGGTCGTCAGGTGTTTGAAAGTTTGCGTGATGTTTGGCGTTCACCCCGATATGAATCACAGCTCGTCTCGAACTGGAATTGTTTGGATTCGAACCAAAGTCATTGGCCTGTGAGTCCACTCATCTACCAACTTGGCTAAACGGAAAGGACGATATTTCTGTGCTACAACTTGGTGGCATGCATTTCCTGGGTATTTGAGGGATTTCTAGCCATACATGGCTGAATGCTAAGCACCATCCGGTCACTAGGATTCCTGACGGCGACCGGAGACTGAAATAGCCGAAACATCGTGTACATACTAACACACCATCGGACGAGGAAGGTAGTCTGAGTAACGATTATTCCGCCTCTGATTCTACTACGTCGTTTCAATCCTTCCGTCAGACTATGCATCTACAGAAGCTGTAGCACAGCCGAAATACAGTCGCAGAATATCGAACGGACTTCTTTGCCAAACTGCTGGTAGATGACTAAATGTATCGCACTGGACGTAGAAGCGTTCTGACAAGAGTTCGTGCCAAGTCCCGTTTCCAGGTCATTCTTCCCATGCATCGTAATATGCTTAACTATCAAGAGTAGTGGGAAAGCCGTGCCGTCTACCCCGCTCTGCACCGCTTTTGTCTCGATTGTTCGGAGCTTAGTTTAACTTGCCCAAGGCTACGCGGCTTAACATCTATGTACCTCATGCAGTCTTACTTTTCTGTTACTTTCTATCAACTAGCTTCCGAAATTAACTACTCACGCTCGAGGCTGACTGCTCATTTAACAGTCTGATTGAATAACACCATGGACGCCTTTGCTGTTTGGCTTGAATGTTATGTCTTATATATAATATACCTTACACTCTGGAATAGCATACCGTCGAGCTTTTCCGACGCAGGGCTTGTAGTGAAAGCTGTGAGTTGTGACTCGCAGAGATAGATGGCTCGCGGTTGCGCGGGGTCGTAAAGAAAAGTAGGTGTGCACCTTGCACATGACGATATGCGCACGGCTTACTGTACGTGTAAGTGTCTTGTTGGCAGTTCGCTTATTGTGTTTGTTGGTGGGACGCAAAAACAAACCCCATTGCACATGCTGTATTCTCAAAGAACTAAATGCGCTTATACTGAATCACACACTTGATGTCGTGTTTTAAATGTCGTGCAGGCTGTGCCAATTGAAATACGCTTGCATAGAATGCAAGGGGCCTGCGTGATTAAGGTATCGCGGCCCCTAGGAGTGTCCACAGCATAACGCGGACCGAGTAGGTCCGCAGAAGTGGGATGTTGAAAATGGTCGCCGTGATGTCATAGGCACTTGTCAGTCACTGTCCTGGCGATGTCATGTCTGGCCTGAAGCAGGCGTTACCTGTCAGTGATCCGTGAAGGCAGCTCACTCTCCGTCTATCGCTTTGCCGTGTCGCGTGTAGTATGTGTAGTCAAATACATGCGTTCGTTGTACGTATTTGGACAATCTTTGGTTGACCTGCGTATGCAAGAGTGAAAAACGCAATGTTTCTTGTCACCAGCAAGTTTAAAACGTCACATTTGTTATGTAGAGCTAAATCACCTACTGCGGGCTACACTCTGCTGCGCTCGCACCTTTTAGCACGTGTAAATCTTCTTGTTACAGCTAACGACTATGCCGGTAGTGAATGTAACCAACCCGGACCATTGACGACCTCTCGCACGTATCGGAGGCGATTGCCTAACTCCCAAGCCGCTCAGCCTACCGACGCAATAAAACGCTGCCTCCAAGAAGGGGCTCCAGTCGACAAATGAATATCCCGGGAGGCATTTACCCTCCTGAAAGGTCTTCAGTCGTTCACAGCCCACGTATGCACAGACTGTTATGCAAGATCAACAACACTTTCTTGACGTATGCGCGCATTCCCAACTTAGATGTTCGTTACGTTATTTTCGACGTGTGCTCGATGTGCGGCAAACGTTCCGCAAACCAATCAATTGTTGTAGGGTCAGCGCCTTTCGTGTCGTGCCCGCTACCGCCACAGCGCGTCCGGGTCGCACACAACGGCAGTGTTCTGGACTGCTGCAGCAGCACCGCAGAAGGTAGCGACGATGCAGCTGCCACTGGCGGTGGCGTCGCCACAGGAGGCGGGGTGTTGTCGTTCGTGTTGATGTCACCACGTGTGGCGGGGTGCTGTCGTTCGTGCTGATGTCACCGCATGTGGCGGGGTGCTGTCGTTCTTGGTGATGTCGCCACGGGTGGCGTGGTGCTGTCGTTCGTGTCGATGTCACCACGGGTGGTGGGGTGCTGTCGTTCGAGGCGATGTCGCCACGGGTGGCGGGTGGGCCGCTCGGGGTGATGTCACGACGGACGGCAGGGGTGCCGCCGCTCGCGACGGATGCCTCGACAGGCGGCAGTGCCATTTCTGGTGACGGAGTTCCGGACGGACGCCGGCCTTACCACAGCACACCGAGTGTTGGGAACGTTACCCGGTACATTAAACGTGAGTGCGCAGGGACATACCAGAGGAAGCGTCGCTTATGGATGGCCGGCATTTGGTGGCTGCCGGAAGACTGGAACTAAGGTGCTTCTGGCTGTGTGGTCGGTCCATAACACACGCACTGGGCGGCGCCACGACCGCTCGCTGTGATATTCCGCGCAGACCTTGGTTCCGACGTCCTAGGGGTGTTACTGGCAAGCACACCGCGTGTCTTCTGTCGTATTCCTGCTCAGAATGAAAACACAATTGAGTTGATGGCCATCGACTAACTGTGTGAGATGACAAAAATATCAACCTGAGTCCATAGCCAATAACATGCTTGGCAAAAGTTAAACAAGGAAAGTTATATGGCAAAAAATATGAAATGACAATTCGTCACATTACCGTCAGCATCGACAGTCAGAAGTTTAGCAATGAATATTATCGAAAAGAGCCCATACAATTTCCACCAACACGATTCGTCCGACCATATGGGCCGCGCCTTAGTGTTTCCTAAAATTAATTATTCGAATGTTCATATTAAAAGGGAATGTTCCACACTTGCAAATATAGAGACAAGCATCTGATGTAATTAATTAAAATGATTCATAGCTACTAGTTTGCCTTGAATGTTTAAGACTGCTCTGAACAACACAAAGTTGTTATCTAGTGACCATTTTTCTCAACACGCCATTATTTCATTACGTCACTGAAGGTCGTTATGGCGTCATGTCGCTGCTAGGCTGAACGCGTTAAAATTGCGATTGTAGTGGACTGGCTGACTCACTATTGGTACTTCAATCTCCCGAGAGGTGGCCGTAGTGGTGCTAGTGGTGTTTGCTGAGCTGAATATCGTTATGTGCTCTTGTTTGCATACCACAGCGCAGTTTCCTGTATTACATAGCACAAAACGGGAGTGGTGCTCGCAATTTTGACTGAACGCATTATATCGGGTTAAGGCCAACTCTAATCCGCTAGTGGTAGAAATTGTCCTGGCGTGCGCCAGACACGGACAACTCGATTATCATATGTTTGCTTGACCTTGAACATATATGGCTAGCGGGATGACAGGATTCGTGGGGCATTTATATGACGTCATGCATGCCTCTGTGAACTTCAAATAGTCTGTATAGGCTTGCGGGCGTCCAGCCCAGAAATCACAGGGTATAAGTCTGGAAGTGACAGCGCTGTGAAGTGCACCGAGTACTCTTCAAAATAGCTATCTCAGCTCGAAACCCGATGCAAAGTTAAATGGAAAACGCCTTGCAGTACGCCCATATCGCTGTGAACTGTTTGATACCGCATACTGAATGCTGCTGTATACAGTGGCGCAGCATTGTTTTTGTTTTTGAAAGATAACATATGAAAGGTGTTATCGGGCGGGATAAAGAGTTGGGAAAGGACAGCATGCAAAACTTGAGCGATAGCCTTTGGCTTAGGCCATGCGATCACTTTTCCAAACTGACTAAGGTGAATGCTTTATGCTCAGCTCCATTTCACCAATCTTGGTGATCTCGAAAATTTTAGTGTAGGATCATTCCGTGCATTGTTATGCGTGATTCATTATGTATTACGCTAAGAGCAAATCAATGTTAACTCCAGTCATGAAAACGTTTGGAAACATTTCTCTTCACCCGTAAGTCAGAGGGAATTCATATTGTCCAGATGGATTACGTACATCACATAACCTTTGGCGCCAATTTTCAGTAAAATCTGAGACATGACTGTGTTAAATCTCCCTGCTAGTGCTGCGCTAGGATCGAGCCAGACCAGACTTACCTACGCACTGTGAATAGATAAACAGACCTTACAAACGCTAATAGGTACAGGACCTAGCGTATCAATGCGTTATCGTTGCGGGTTTACCCAAATGTCTGAAGCAATCGATCCAGCTGCGTACTGTTCACATTCGCTGGGCTATCCGCTAGTCTTGCCCCTAAATAACGCCTGTTAGGGTCTTCATCTCGCTTTTAGCGTCTGGGGAAAAATAGACCAAAATATGTGATCACCAGGCTCCAGAATTTTAGTTAGAAGTGTCGTGGTGAGAACATGTGCCCACAATTAACGACGAGGGGCGGGTGACTAAAATTCCACGAGCCTCCCCTCCCCCCACCCTGGCTACGTTGCTGTGTGGAGTAGTATTCAAGGGTAATTGCCCGACCGCATTGTTGCGGGGGAAACAATGCGGTGGGCAAGTCGGATGACAGCCCGTGCGCTGGTGCATAATTAAATAATGGGCATAGTGGTTTTTGGAGCTGGATTTTTCATCTCCATCACCTGCTTTACTTTTTTATATGTGTGATACGGGTGGAATGTACACACTACATACAGTGCAATTCGGTACATGGCAGTGCGTTTATTGCATTGCCATGAATGTGGTAAACCTCAGGGCGCTTGGAAGGGGTGCTCAAGCCGGATAAGTCCGCCATTATATCTCGGGTCCATGGCAGTGGCGCTGCCCCCGTTGCTCGGTGTGCCCCGATGTGGCCAGAACACGCACTTTTTTTACTCAACTTCATGTGCAGGTGATGGAGAACAACGCACCTACTGCATCATAGTCGAGAGCTGCCCTTTTGTTCTGCAGGGGGGTGCGGAGGGTACACGGTCGGTCCTGGTGTTCAATGAAGCCAGCTACATGCAAGGAGAATTCAGCGACGGCGGAGGTCCGACAAAAACGCACGCGTTCAACATAGAGGCCAGCGCCCGGGTGTTGTCGGACCGCGACCTGCCAGACCCACGGCACCCGAGGTACTGGTCCCCAACTCCGCCAGACCCACGGCACTCCAGGTACTGATTCCCCAACCCCGCCGGGCCCGCATCACCCCAGGTACTTATTCCCCCATTCCCGCCGGCCCACACCACCCCACCTACTTACTCTCAAGCGCCGTCGGGCCCACGCCACCCCGAGTACTGACTCCCAAGTCCCACCCGATGATTCGGAGCAATCAGACACATAAGTCCGAGACCTGTTGCACGTCCTTCGACGTCGGTGTCACCACGGTCCTTCAATGAACAGCGAAATCAATGCGGCCGTGGTCGTGCGAAGCCCAGCACTTGCAACTCGCCACTCACGCCGTGATCTTTTGCATGCCGCGGAATGGTCTGATCCGTTCGTGGAATGCAGATAACCCCATCAACCCCGCCAAAATCACTCTCATCGGGTATGGCTGCAGTGAGTGCCGGCCCCGTACACAATGGCTGAGCGCCAGCTCGACGTTAGCTACGACCGTCAGCCGCCGGCGACACATGCGGCGGTGTCAGGGTCGCTCAGTGTCATGCTTTGTGGCTGCTGGTAAGACACGAGGCATTCATGGCTGACTGAATCAATTATTGAAATTAATTATCTTGTCCGTGCACCTCTCGCTGAAGCGGTTAGGGAATGATGATGATGATGCTGTCAGTTATCGACAGGCGTGCAATGCTTGCTCACTGACAAAATCAAAATTATCGTGGAATAATGACTTCGCGAGGACATGACATATCACAATCATTGACAGATGCGAACGTGCAGAGCACGATATATCCAACGGTGCAACCGTCAGCGTCATCATCAGCTTCCACAACGAAGCTAGGTCTGCGCTGCTCAGAACTGTCATCAGGTGAGCGGGTCATGCTATGCTGACTGGCGGAGCCGCGAGGGAGCCAGGCTTCCTCAGGTGAGCAGGTCTTGCCATGCTGACTGGCGGAGCCGCGAGGGAGCCAGGCTTCCTCAGGTGAGCAGGTCTTGCTATGCTGACTGGCGGAGCCGCGAGGGAGCCAGGCTTCCTCAGGTGAGCAGGTCTTGCCATGCTGACTGGCGGAGCCGCGAGGGAGCCAGGCTTCCTCAGGTGAGCAGGTCTTGCTAAGCTGACTGGCGGAGCCGCGAGGGAGCCAGGCCTCCTCAGGTGAGCAGGTCTCCCTGTGCTGACTAACGGAGCCGCGAGGGAACCAAGCTTCCTCAGGCGAACTCAACAACGTTTGAAGCAAGCTTCTCAGCTGACGTGTAATATGGTGCTATGTTTGTGCCAGGTGCTGTTTCGTTAAGTCATGTTGGGAGGCGACATAATGCTGCCTTGTCGGCTAACTGAATTTGCTGGCGCAAGGGAGGGAACGACCGCGTGTGAGGGCAAGATTGTGCCTGTCGTGTAGTGCGTACTGCACTACTGTCATGTCCACAAGCTGATAGTCTCCTCCGTTCCCTTGCTTTTATGGGATGCTGCGAAGACCGAGCATTAACATGCAACACGAGACGCCAAGGTTTTCAGACGAGGGCGCGAACACACACAGCCAGACGTGATTGCGCGATAACACCACGCGGCACGGCACGTCGGCCAGCAGCGCGCCATGCTCTTCTTGCGACGTGAAAAGGCCAGATGTACGAGCCGGCCGCAACCGGTGGGAACCTGCCGCTACGAATTGCTGCCGCAATTCTCAGCAGAGGGTGCCGGCGCGGCGGTCCGGCAGCGGGCGGAGGACCCCGGACGCTCCTGGTCTGGCGCCTGGACCGCTGATCACGGCGCGCCTGTGTGGATGCCGATCAAGCGAGCCACCGCGCCCGGCGCTGATCGGCTGCAGGCCCCCAGCCGCTAATCGAGCCGGTGTCGATTGACGAGCTCGGAAACAGGCGCGGCGAACGCTCCGCTGCCGGAAGACGGGCAGAGCGCTGAGTGAAGGCACGCGCAGGTGCTGATTGCTTTTACCGTTGCTGGTAGTGGGATGCTGAATGTTCTGCTGCTTTGAGCTTGTAGTGATAAAACAGGATACCTCGAGACGCAGTGCTGGATTGGACAGAGGAGCATATGACCTTGCAGGGCGGCTCCACCGCATTGTCTGACCGTTTGATAGGAATCGAGTGGGTCGTAAGTTCTCCGAGATTCTGATAGAGCCGCGTGTGTAAAACACGGCGGAAATTGGGGAGAGGTTCCTCACGTCCTTAAAACGCATCATCACAGGCACGGCGTCCTTTGTTTAAGGTTTGTACCCCCATGAGGCGCCTTGACATTTGTGTTGACAGTTAAGTACATCGACCAGGGAAAAGCGGCGACAGATCCTTGAATGACAAAATAAGCCAGCTGCTGTAAACGCCATGCTCGAGATCCTGAACGGAATTTTGATGCACGAGCGATGCACCAAGCTTCATGCACTGCTGGATCGGGCGGGTGGCATTGACCGTATTGCAAAACGTACCACCAGTCGGCAAGCCTGGCTTACAAAATACGTAGTCATTTGTTTGGCCTAAACGTAAGGCGTCGACGTTGTCTTTTGGATGGCACGAGTTAATGCCACGAATGCGTTCAGTTTAGCCTCGTGCCCATTAAACCTGCTTTTCCAAACTGCAGCCCTTAACAGCTTTCTGGACGGTTTTTACTCAGGGTAAAAAATCTGCGAATGCACATGGCGCCAATTTCAATGTCATGACCTACTCTGAGTGCTAATTAGTAGTTAAGCACAAACGTTCTAGGTGATGTTCAAGTATATAGGCTTCATTCCAGCAATATTGTTTTTTAGCCGCAATATCTTTCACTCAGTTTGTGTGGTATGTACCGTGAAAATTTTTCACGTGGTGAATGGCCTATACGTGCAGATACTCTTCTAGTTGTTTGATGATTCTTTTTAGCCATAGATTGCAACATCAAACAGCTGAAATATTGGGATGCACATGCGTCCTTTCTTCAAGTTTGCAGTTACCTGTACAAGACACGTGGGGCCAGCTTAGCCTGAACGCAAGATTGAAAGTGTTTGTACCAAACAGCAGTTCAATTAAAAGGCACATGATCAATAACGAAAGGTCAATGCACCCATGTAGCCAGATCGCATTGTCTGACGGCTGTGTTTTACAGTGTCCTGAACCGAACTCCAGAAGGTCTCCTTGAAGAAGTTATATTAGTCGACGACGCCAGCACTGACGGTAAACAGTCATGTAACAACTGACAATATGCTGTTTTTAAGTCATTGCATAAACCATTATAAGCATGCCAGTTTTCAAAGCGCGACACTAGCATGAGATAAGTAACCTTCTTAAACCGCTCAGCGATCATGTCACGCTTCAGTTGACCCCAAACTGCAGTCACTAAGCCTTCCACAAATGACCCCGCTATCTTGCAGAACAAGCCGGGTCGCTGCTCGTGGTCCTGCCCGGTGTCAAGCTGCTGCGGCTGCAGTGGAGGCAGGGTGAGAAAGTTCGCCAGACTCTGACTCAAACTGCTTCGATGTCGCCGGTTGCGCGTATTTAGCCTACGTTATGACCGCCAGCTGTCGGAAAATAGCCTATATAAGTCAGTCCGCAACGGAATGCATTTTGGGGAGACCCCAGGCTGCAAAGCGTCAGCACATTATTTTCTGTACAGCGAGGCTACAACTCTTGCATCGTCCACGTTCGTCGTTTGCAAGCCCAGTTCGTGTTTGGCTGTGCCAGTGACGCACGCGATTCAGGCTTGATTCGAGCAAGGATTCGAGGAGCCAGCACGGCCGCCGGCGACCACCTGGTGTTCCTGGACTCGCACTGTGAGGTCAACAGGAGGTGGTTGGAGCCCCTGCTCGCTGCCGTCTTCCAGGTGATAACGCGCCGCTCCCCGCTGACCTGCTATCTGTGCCTACCCTGCTGTTGGCTCGCTACCCTGCTGTCGGCCCGCTACCCTTCTGTCTGCCCGCTACCCTGCTGTCTGCCCGCTGCCGTGCTGTCGGCCCGCTGCCGTGCTGTCTGTCCGCTACCCTGCTGTTGGCTCGCTACCCTGCTGTCTGCCCGCTACCCTGCTGCTCGGTCCGATACCCTGCTGCCTATCTCTACCCTGCTGTTGGCCCGCTACCCTGCTGTCGGCTCGCTGACCTGCTGTCTATCCCTACCCTGCTGTTGGCCCGCTACCCTGCTGTCGTCCCGCTGACCTGCTGTCTGTCCCTACCCTGCTGTTGTCCCGCCTACCCTGCTGTCTGCCCGCTACCCTGCTGTCTGCCCGCTGCCGTGCTATCGGCCCGCTGCCGTGCTGTCTGTCCGCTACCCTGCTGTTGGCCCGCTACCCTGCTGTCTGCCCGCTACCCTGCTGTCGGTCCGATACCCTGCTGCCTGTCCCTACCCTGCTGTCGGCCCGCTGACCTTCTGTCTGCCCGCTACACTGTTGCCTGCCCACTGCCGTGCTGTCTGTTCGCTGCCCTGCTGTTTGCCCGCTGCCCTTCCCGCTGCCCTGCTGTCTGCCCGCTGTGTTTTTAGATCTGTGATCCACTCCACCTGGCAGGCCTCCAGTCACTGTCCAGCGAAACAGTACACCAGTGGGGTCTTAGCCGGAGCAGCTTTCTGTTGACGCTGCGGCGAGACAGTTTATGTCGCCGTGCTCGCTGGCGAGTGACGGGAAATATGGCGTGAATGTCGTCAAAGTTTATTGAAACGCTGTTCACACTTCCAAGCGTGCCACCATACTCGCATGCGTCCGACCTTTGCCTGGTCCGCTGGACTATCGCGACCTCGTCCGTCTACTACGAGCAACCACTATGGATCGATCAGCATCATGGCCATGCTCAGACACACCGGTGGTCGTCATCCCTGGTACAGCCGGCGTCATCCACACTCAAGCACCGGTGGTCGTCATCCGTGGTAGCAGCTGCCGTACCGTCCGTCGTTGGTCAGGCGCATCCGCCTCCCGTCATACGGGCTCAGCACGTCTGACGCCGACCCTGCGCGCTCCGCCGACGCGCTCCCCATACACGGAGCGCGCGTAGCGTCCACCCGTCGCGACCCCGCGGCGGGAAGAGCGGCCTCAACGTGGCAGCTGGACGAGATCGGTCCGCGACCGGCCGGCAGTGGAAGGATCTAGTCAGAGGCCGCGACGACCTTCGTCGCACCCCCTCCTCGGCTGTTTGTCTCGGCCGGACAAACAGCTGCTGCCTTCCACACCGTCATCGCCCTTCCTCAGGCTCTTCGTCATCTGTCATCCGTCATCCGTCTGCGTATCATCCTGATGGATGACGGTGTGGGCGTGGTGGGTACCGGCTCGTGGTGGTGCAGGCCGCGTCCCCGCGAGCGGCTGGTCCCGGCCAGTCCGCGGGGAGGGCGCCTCTAAGACGGCCACATGTTTACGTCCGCTGTGTGGTCGCGCCTTCCATGCGGATGGACGGAAAGCCGGCGGATGCGACACCGCGTCTGGGCGTCAGCGCGCGGCTGTCGGAAAGAGAGCGACTGGCTTACAAGGGCTGGTCTCGACTGGTTGTCACGGTCGAACGGCTCCGAACAATGGCCTGTGTGAGAAGCGCATTTGTGTTGCAGATATTTTGGGCCAGACACTTTTGTCTCATGCAAACCTGGGCGGCTAAGTCAACGTTAAAAGCGCGCAATGCAAGAGGTAACGAGTACAATGAATGCACATCTCATATGCATTGAGTGCACATCGTTGGGCAAGTGAGCACGAGTAGTGCACACTAAAAGCTTTTCGAATAGCACGCAAACTATCACCAGCACGCAGATGAGAGCAGCAAAAGTGTGCGAAATAAAGGGCTCACGCTAGCTGACTTGTGGAGTGGAAAAATACCGAGAGACGCAGCTTTCCGAAATGGCCTTGAATACTTCATCACATCTAGCTAGCCGAGCAGCCATTTTGTGTGCCCGGCACGTAGCACTTGCTTTGAAGAGATCATGCAACGCAGTTCGCAGTCACGGCGTTGCCATAACGGGGGGGGGGGGGGGGTGGAGAGGGCAAGGGAGACGTTCCCTCTATTCTCAAGGAGAAGGGGATCGTCCCCTCTTATAACAAACGAATATCTCAGAAAAAAACTCGATGAATCGGCGTGGATGACCGAACGATACTGCAGTTGTTGGATACTATCATGCGAGCGAAGCCCAAAGATGGGTTACTAAAATAACCATGCACCGAAAACTTCTTTGCTTTCCGCAATATTTCAGGTCACAGTGGGAGGAATTTGGTTGCGCACGATTCAATTCATAAGTTTTGGATTGCACTGAAGATGTGTGCACATGCGACATTCTCTTGTGTACAGGAGGCACTTGAACTCAAACAGAAAGCTGACAGGGACGTTGTTCGTTGTCAGCATTGCCTGGGGGCAAATTTTGATCTGTCTCCGGCCCATTTCCAAATGCTGCGCACGCCTCCATAGGGTGAACGTACAGGGGTCAGAATCACAAGTATGACTGAATACCTTCCCCATTCAGGTTGAGCTTCCAACTTCTAGGGTTACGTGGTTGCGAGGCTAGTATCTAACCCGTTGTGGAATGCAGATTACCTGTGCCCTCAAATTTAGTCTGCAGTAATAGCCCCTTCATCCTAACATTTTTTTGACAATGATCTGACTGTTCCAAATCTAAAATGCACGAAAACCAAGACAGTGCCCGGGACGACAGCGTTGTGGATGCAATAACAACTCACCACGCTGGGTGATACAGCAGCTTACCATGTTGGGTGATACGGCAGCTCACCACGCTGGGCGATACAGCATCTTACCACGCTGGGTGACAGAGCAGCTTACCACGCTGGGTAGCACAGCAGCTCACCCCGCTGGTGATACAGCAGCCAACCACGCTTGGTAGCACAGCAGCTCACTACGCTTGCTGGCACAGCAGCTCACCACGCTGGGTGACACAGCAGCTAGCTTTAGGTGGCACAGCAGCTTACCTTTTTGGTCGGCACGCCATCTCTTGGAGTTTGACGGGCCGCTGTGCTGGGGGTACAGCAGTTCGTTCCGTCGGTCGGTACAACAGCTGCGCGTACTAAGCGGCGCAGCGGCTGTTCAGCCCTCGCGCTGTTCCACGCACCGTTGGGGGAAGCGGAGAGGGGACGGCATGCTGGCCAGCGGGCGCAGAGTGGGGTCGCGTGTACACCGCATGGCCGGTAGACAAACAATTGAAAGCTTGTTTTAACATGCGACGTATAACATGCGCCTCTTCCTTAAACGCGTTCTGCTATTACGGCGTGTCATTTTACTGATTCACTTAAGAAGCGATCTTGTGTTTCCGTCAGGGGTTGCATTCCTTCTTGTTCCGCTCAAAGGTCTCCATGCAAGATTTGCTCACCTAACATCAAGCATCAACCCCTTTTCAAAAGTCCCTGCATGATGTCACTATGCCGTGTTGTGTGTACTGATGTCTGCTTTCAAAGGTTAGCAGATCCATTTTGTTAACTGTGAAGTGATGGCGGTGCCCTTTGGTGCCTTTATATAACAATGACTTTGTGTTACGGAGCAAACGACGACTGTTGACGCTGTAACAGTGTTGTTGGTCTTTGTTTTCTTTGTGCGGATCAGAATTTCTGCATCAAGACATAAGAAAACAACACGATAATACCGACATGCGTACTTTGCAGGAGCCAAAAGCTGTGGTCAGTCCCGTGCTCGACGTCATTGATTCACAAACGTTCGAGTACCGCTCTAGTAACCCACACCTAAGAGGCGGTGAGTAACTAAATCAGGGCCTCATAACCCCGCTCTCGCCTATATAACCCAGCTCTAGATAGCTGAAGAGAGAGACGAGAGAAGCTGAGAGAGGACAAAGAGCGTTAGAGAGAGAGAGCGAGCGAGGAGGGAGAGAGAGAGAGATATATTCGCGAACTCGCTCTCTCTCCTCGATATCGATCGAGCCTTAATCTCTCGATCTCGCGTCTCTAGCTCTCATCTATCTCATCCTCTCTCTTCTCCTCTCGCCTATCTATCTCTATCTCTATCTCTCTCTCTCTCTTCTCTTCTCTCTCTCTCTCTCTCTCTCCTATCTCTCTCTCTCTCTCTCTCTCTCTCTCTCTCTATATCTCTCTCTCTCTCTCTTCTCTCTCTTCTCTGGCTCTGGCTCTGGCTCTGGCTCTGGCTCTGGCTCTGGCTCTGGCTCTGGCTCTGGCTCTGGCTCTGGCTCTGGCTCTGGCTCTGGCTCTGGCTCTGGCTTTGGCTCTGGCTCTGGCTCTGGCTCCCCTCAAAGCCGACTCTAGTGTACGCTACGCTACACAACGTAAAGATCCTAGCTTGACATAGGAGCATCGTCGCCACTTTTCAACGCAGACGGTTGTATCATGTAAGACAATGCACAATGTCTTGCCAGGTTTTGGCACCAGTGGCTGCATTTCGTGTGGTTAGCGAACAGTGCGGGACAGGTTTCCACTCGTAACTGAGACGACGGCTGTGACTGAATCTCGCGTGATATTCCCAACACCTGACAGGCTTTGGCTGGTCGTTGCGACGCCGGCGACTGAACAGCTCAGCGGCCATTGACCCTGACAGCACCAGCCCATTCACGTAAGCCATGGACCCTGACAGCACCAGCCCATTCACGTAAGCCATTAACCCTGACAGCACCAGCCCATTCACGTAAGCATGACCCTGACAGCACCAGCCCATTCACGTAAGCCATGGGACCCTGACAGCACCAGCCCATTCACGTAAGCCATGGACCCTGACAGCACCAGCCCATTCACGTAAGCCATTGACTCTGACAGCACCAGCCCATTCACGTAAGCCGTAGACCCTGACATCTCGGCCCATTCACGTAAGCCGCCTGACATTCGTCGACTTCCGTAGCAGCTGCGCTGCGGAGCCTCTGCATGCATAACCATGTAGCATGCCACCCTCACCAGCAAAACCCTACCGGTGCTGCTACCAAATCTTTGTATGTGATGGTACCAGCGAAACCTTACCAGGTTTACCCTGTCAATTTGCAAATATGTGATAACCTAGTTTACTCCGGCAGCCCTGCAATAGCTGTGTGCAAGTTGTAACATCGCGCCTCACCATGCAAATGTTGTGCAAAGTCAGCGCCCTGCAGGTCTCGGCTGAGCGGTGCGCCTTGCGTTTACTGCCAGGAGTCCAGTGCTGCTGGGCGGGGTGTTCCTGATCAGCCGAGAGTGGTTCGACCGGCTGGGCCAGTTCGATCCGGGGCTGGAGGTGTGGGGCTCCGAAGACCTCGGTAGGTCAACTGCTACGGTCTAGCGCCTGCGCACTGCCCCCACGGACGCTCGCTAACGCCCGCCGAAAGGCTAACTGACGCTAACTAACGCCCGCCGAGAGGCTAACACGGCAGTCTCAGGCAGTATAACTGTGTAGTGCTTCCCCCAGTGCGACGTATGTATGCTAGTTGGCTCGGGGACGCAGTTAACGCAAAACATATGGGCGCTCATATGTCTCAGGATAATATGTCAAACATATGTCTCAGGAATATCCAGCCACATGTGCTTTGACCAGACTTGTAGGTCAGCAGGCTTCGACAGCCTGCTACGTTTCGCTTAGAGCACGATTGTTTGGTTGGACTGGAAGACGTAAGGAACATCGAAGCAGAAGTCATCACGATGCTTTCGCCAGAGATTAAAGCTATCGACTTACAAGATATGTTTGGTGACAAAAATGGGCATTTTTGCGATCTTTTTTCGTGACAACATTGCAAAGATAGGATCTGACAGCGGTAGAAAAGTGTTTTTTGTCTGTCATCGACAATATTTGGGACCGCCTCAATTGTCACCTGAAGCCAAATTTATCACAGACCGTTGCAATATTACTCTAAAGGCGATAAAGTACATAACATAACGATAAGTGAAGTACAATAAGCTGTGAGCATCATAACTATTTTTGTTTCAAAGGTTTTATTTGGAGTTGGACATTATTTGCTGGCGATTCAAGGAGTGCCGATGTTAAGAGGGTAGGTCTTTGCGCAAAAACGGGCTTAACGCCGGTGAGTACGTCGGCTTGGTTCAAACCTAAGATGTCGCATACACGGAGAAAGGCTAGATCATGTTTGATCAGCGGCTCTACCACAACCATAAATGACGCGTAACAAATCACATGCACTAGTTCACGACGTACTGGGGCAATATCAGTGTTAGAGAAAGAGCCGTTGCAGCGTCTCACTCATTCATAAGAAAATCATTTTCCATCGCCTTGCTATCAGCTGAACACAGTTTTTGATGTGACAAACTGTGTTACCTTAAGTTGAAAGTTGTGTTGTTTCACGTCACTGTTATGGCCTATGTCTATAACTGCGGTGCATGAAATTAACTTCAATAGTTTTCCCCAATGCCAAAATTCAGATTTCTAGCATTTGCAATCCGCGCCAGGCAAACTTCCACTCTCCAATCCAGAAGCATTAACCTGAAACCCAACGCCGGATAACCTATTTCATGGCCTGGGTTACCTGGATGTCGTCTCAATGCCCGCGTAACGAACCGTGCTTAGCGACATTGGTTGATTATTGCGGATTTCTGGCGCTGCGACTTCTTCGTTATGTGACGAACTTGCTTAGCTTTAAGCATCATGTCTTATTTCAACTACGCTCACGGACGCAAATTGCGACTTTTTGAAGTAGCAATTTTTATGTTCATAATGTCATAATTGCCCATATCATAATCATGTACATAACACAATCGCCCATTACCGTCCATACCAGTTTTCCGCTAGCCTGTTAGGGCATATTCACGCATAGCACATTACATGTTCCAGCTCTGGAAATAGGACGTAGTAACCACGTGTCACGAACTCTTAAAAATGGAGCAAGGCGCGAATGAATACTTATTATTTGAACCTGCACTATGTGCTCTGCATGTTAAAAGCAGTGTTCCACATTTGTGTGAAGTTTTGAACTGAAATAGCCCCATTAAATACCTTTCGGTACTGTAAAAATCCCGCCCTTTTTAAGAACTAAGCACCTCTATTTTCTGAGCTACACGCCCGCGAAAATGCGAAAAGGTATATGCTGGAAAGTATTTGAAAGTCGCATTGGCATTCATGGCGTGATAGTAACGGCACTCAAAACTTGTCATGATATAAGTCATGCGGTGACCAAGGCGAAGAAAAATATCCTTATCGATGCGTTCATGTCTGGCTTTCGTGAGCGGGATTGCAAGATATAATGGGCGTTCATTGCCTCTCAATCAATGTTGTGCATGGTACGATGACGTAATCAAACCATGACACATTAAGGGGCATATTCACTAACCAGAGAATTGCGCTGTCTGGGGCAGTCATTTCCACTTAAAAAGTATATCAATAGTTATAAGTGAGCTTGTTTCATCACATTTGATGCTTGCTTCAATATATTCAAACGTGACACATTCCCCTTAGCGGAGCGTGCGGCGTCAGTAACTCATTACAGCGGCAGTGAACCGATCACTGGAGCTTCACCTTTTCGATCACTGAAACTTCAAATATGCCACAGAGGGGCGGCCGGATATCCGGCACAGGACGGGCCGCGTGTCAGAGATAGGAGCAGACGTCGAACAGAGGAAAGGCGGCGTGTCCGACACAGGAGGACGTGGGACGGTCGTGTTTCCGGCGCAGGAGAGGCTGCGTGTCGTGGCACAGGAGCGGCCGACTTGCGCTGGAGTGGCTGAACCTTCGGCACTGGAGCTGCTACGTGTCCGGCATGGGAGAGGCGGCATGTCTGGCACAGGAGAGACAGCGTGTTCAGCACTGGAGTGGATGCGGGTCCAGGACCAGAGTGGGGGCACGTTCGGCACTGGAGCGGCCGCGTGGCTGGTACAGGGGGAGCCGCGTGGCCGACTCAGGACTGGGAATGGCCGGCGCCGGGCTATGGAGCGCTTAACTCTTGCCATTGCTCGTCGTTACTCATAACGCGGACTGAGGGGGGAGGGACTCGATGCGACCCCGCGAGTGCTCTCAAAGTAAGAAAGATAGTGACTCGCGGAAAAAGTAGATCGGCCGATACTTGACAGCATCTCGCAATTGACAATAACTGCGATGGTACTAGGTCGATAACTATTTTTACGGTTTGTGATGCGTGGTCATTACTTTTTAGATCCACAATGGGAACATACGATGTACTGTACGTGCATATGCCCATAACGGGTTAGCGGACAAATGCTACGGACGGTTATGATATGTACGCTCCTCAAATGCTGGCTTAAAAAGTCGCAATTTTGTCTAGCAGCGGTACTTAAATCAAAATTGTTGCGTAACACTAAACAAAGTCATCATATAACGAAATAGTGCAGCTTCCGAAATCCGAAATAATCAACTAATCTCGCTAAGCACGGCCCGTTAAGCGGACATTGACCCGCAATCCAGGCCATGCAGTGGGTTGTCCAGTGTTTTAAACATTGCATCTATAGACAAAAGTTATTGCTGTGATATGAAACAGCATATCAATTATCAGCTTAAGGCAACGCGGCTTGTAGCATGAAAAAGAGTTGCAACTGATAGCAAAAGAGTTGCAACTGATAGCACTGATAGTGGGTATACATTGTTATGGTTTGATTAAATCATGCAATAGCCCTTTTATTAACAATGGCATTGCCCCACCATGTCGTGAGATAGTGCACGGGGTTTGTTGCGCTCCATTTATGGTTGTTGTGCAACCGCTGATCAAACATGTTTTAGCCTTTCCCCGTGGATGCGACCGCTTAGGTTTGAACCGAACCGACCTGCTCACCGGCCTTGGGCCCGCTGCACCGGCCACTCATGCACTACGACCTACGCCTTAACCACTGGAACTTTTGGCTTTGTCAGGAAATGAAACTCAAGTGCGCATAAAACTGCCCAAATGATGATGTTTATAATGTCAGTGACACACTGCACTTCATTCATCTTCATGTGGTTTGTCCCATTTATGTTACATTGCAACGATTTCTGATAAACCTGGCCCCAGGTGACAATTAAGGCGGTTCCAAATTTCGTCGGTGACAGAAAAGACAGTTTTTGTTTCACTCTTGGCTTTTCGCTGGTCACACCAAACTATAAGCGGTGAATACAAAGCCCTGTGGCGGTGTCATTGCCTGATAACCAGCAAACAGGCCGCTTACGACTGCGGCCGGTTCTACCGGCCGGTGCTGTCGCGCTGCCTGCAGAGCTGTCGCTGAAGGCATGGACGTGCGGCGGCCGGGTGCTGGTGGCGCCGTGCAGCCGCGTCGGCCACGTGCTCCGCAGGCGGCACCCCTACACCTTCCCCGAGGGGAACGTGCAAACATCTCTCAGGTGCGCTTCACGTTAAGGGGAGCGTCAGAGTGTGGGGACCACTGTCCGGATGTGGCGTGTGATTGGTGCCGGTCCGTTCCGAGAAGTCGCCGGCGTAGAGACTATTTTGTCGATGTGGAGAGTAGTAGTTGCGTGTTTGCCCACTTGGAATGGCATTGCTACGGTTCCTGTGACCTCAATTTAAATGCGCCCTATTAAATTTGTCCTAATGGAAAGACTCGGTCGTTTCATGGTAAACTGATTAACGGAGTTAGTAATCAAAAGATTTTGCGTGTGAGTGTCATTCTGTCAATGTCATGTCTCAGGCTATGCTTCTTGTTCCGAAACGCTTTATACAGGGGTGTGGTCTCCTATTCAGTCTGAGGCGCCAACTCCCTCCCCCCCCCCCTCCCCCTCTCCCAGTTTGGGGTCCGGCCGCCTCCCCTTTCATCGCCATAAAAAATGGACAACTTGCCGCCTGCTTGTACAGGAATTCTAAGCGTGTAGCAGAAGTATGGATGGACGAGTACAAACGTTTCTTCTACCAGCGTCGCCCGGCGGCCACCGGCGTAAGTTGTGGTGACATAAGCGACCGCCGGGCGCTGCGACGCAGCCTACAATGCCGGAGCTTCGGCTGGTACATCGACGAAGTCTACCCGGAAATCAGGCGGGTACACCTCTGTTTCTCCACTGAAATGACTACGAATAGACAAAAGGTTTAAATCATTTCTATGTTGGAGACGTAGCCGATCGTTCCTGGATGCTAAATCCAGTCAGCAAGCATCAATCTTGAGCTCCGGCACCGTTCTCACTCGCACCACCCTGATGCCGTGGCTGCCTTCTTCCGTAATAATTCGTTCCTCTTGTCATCTATCTTGATTCATCCTGCATCCTCGCGACACCCTGCTTGCCCGGGGCAGGCTGCATGCGTCAGCCACGAGTGGGCCGAGAGCCCCGTGGGAAGACCCCGACCGGCACCCAGCGCGCATGCGCGGGTTGAAGCTCGGCGGTGGGCCCATGTGCATGCCAGTCTGCCCTACCATTAATCATTTTTCCTCATAGCCCTGAAATGATCAGTTCTGGTCGAAAGGGCTCTAATCCAAAAAAACTGCGGCTGCCTTCGATCGGAAGCAGACTGCTGTACCAGCGTTTTGCCGCCGGCGGTGGCGGAACCGGGCACTGATAGCAAATCTCTGTAGAAGCGGCCGCCCTATAATTCATTGGCGTCTGGAACTCCCAACGCCAAAACCATGCAAACTTCCGTCTTTGATTGCCGAGTCGGTGCCGCGAAATATCCGTCCACCGAGGATAGAACCCGGGTCCTCTCGTGCCGCTGCAGGCCGCCGGTGGACGACCAGCGGGCGTACGGGCAGCTGTCCCAGGGCGGCCGGTGCGCGGCGGTCGGCGCGGGCGGCTCGTTGACACTGGGCGCCTGCTCGGCGGCGGCGCGCCGCCAGTGGTCGCTGACCCGGGATGGTCGGCTGGTGGGCGCCGGCGGGCTATGCGCCGTCGGCCGCGGGCCGCGCCGCGCCGTCCGACTCACAGCCTGCACCGGCAGCCGGCAGCAGGTGGGGGCCGCGGCGGGACGGCACCGACACAGGCCGACGCGGCTGGTAGCGTGTACTGGTGGGTGTCAGGGCTGACGCTCCGTGTCGGCGGAGTTTTGACGCAACCTTGAGACGATATGAGCTATACTGTCTTAGCACCAGAGTCTGTGCTGCGATCATAAACTTTTCCATGGTGATGGGACGATCACCCGACAGTGACCGACTCGGCACT